ATGTAACAGGGTAGATGTGTCAGCATGGGGTGCCTCGGGGAGCAGGCCCAAGCCTCACAGTAGTGTGAGCAAGCATATTTTAATGTTTCCTCTAGAAAGGTCTGGGATTTGCAAGAAAGTCTAAAGATGCTGGTCACATTAAGGGCATATGACAGTGGAATTTGCATTAAACCAAATGATAGGATAGTAGGTGAGAAAGTAGACATCTCAGTGGAAGGCAGAGTAAAAGAATGACCATTACAGACAATTAGATCTATAGTGAATATCTTAACACATATCATCATAGATTTGGCTAAGGGCTAGACATTACCCTTCATTGTCATAATGTTACATCAGCAATGTGTCAGAAAAATTACGTTCACTCAATATCTATGTGCTCCACAGCTCCCTTGAACCTGGGCAGGACCAAGTGACTAGTTTTAACCAATGAACTATGAGCTGAAGGGATATGTCGTTTCTGGGCTGTGGCAGTAAAAAGTCCTTGTTCGAACCCCCTAACACTTGTTTCTCCATTTTAGCAATCACAGAGGTAACCTGTTGAGATAGATGAGAAACAAGATAAAGGTAGTGTGGTCTCCTAAGGCATCATTTGAGATAAAGCAGTTTGACACACCACTGAAATTAGCTTTTAAATGTTAAGCCAATGATATTTCCCAGTTATTTATCATAGCTACAGAATCTTGTAAATGTTTACCAATATAGGCCTCCAGAATTAAAAGTAACCCCCAATAGGAAAAGATGGAAAAAACTTTAAATTGGCTGAATATATTTTGAATTAATTCTGAAATTTTTTAAATTGGTCATTTTATGTTTTCTACTTCTAGATAAAATGGAAATTTAGGAAAGACACTTAGGAAATTAAATTTATTGCATAACTGAGTTTAAATGTATGAGGAACCACACTTGCTATACCATTATTAATATTATAGATATATACAGTTTTCTCTTGAAAAATAGGGGCTTAGGAATGCTGAACCCCCATGAGATTGAAAATTTGTGTATAAATTTTGACCGCCCGCCCCCCCCAAAAAAACCCAAAAGCACAACTTAACTTGTCTCTTGGTATCCATGGGGGATTGGTTCAGGACCTCTTGAGGATACAAAAATTTGCAATGCTTGAGTCCTCTGTATAGAAAGATCTAGATCAGTACATAGAGTTGATTCTCCACATCCTCAAATTCCCAACAGTATCTGTTAAACAGTAAAGTTATTTATTGGAAAACAAATTAGTGTAAAAGTATTTTGATATCACGTGGCTTTATGACCCAGTGATGCCACTTTTTGGGTGGCTTTGGACAAGCTTCTTTTTTTTTTTAAATCTTTCTAATATTTTACTTTTCTCATTTACTAAAAGAGAAAACTAATGTAACTTATAAGATTGTGGCAAACATTAAACTGAGACAATGCGCATAAAGTTCTTAAAAGAGGATCAGACATATAGTGAGTCTTTAATCAATATCTATTATTATTTTAATGTGGTTATTATTGCAATGGCTGGAAATCCACACAAATATAATAACTTTGCATAGAGTAAAGTCAAGATGATCCAATAAATCCCTGAAATACATGGAAGACAATGGCATAAGAAGGTATTTAAAGTAACTGGAATGAAAAATTAAGGCTTTATCTTCAAGATATTGTAGGCTACGTTTATGCCTCTTGCAATAGGAACTGGTGGGCAGCTAACAAAATATGTCTTTAAGGCTTGGAATCTTTATTTTACTGTTCTAAAAGAGGCTGAAAACATGGATTATATTATTTTGTAGAACAGTCTACTCATCTTGGAATTATAAGTAAGTAGAAACAGGTTTGCAAGATGGGTATTTTTCTTTTAAAAGTCTATGGGTAACTTGCAAGAGCAGGTATTTCAATATTCACCTGTCTCATGTGTACCATTTGGTTTACAATCTCCTGATTGCTATCTTGTAGTGAATTGTTCTGTTTATAGCTCTAAAATTGCTATCTGGGTGACAGTCTTCTGTTTCTAATCTTAAGATGGTTGTCTAGTGGCTTTGATCCCCATGGCTCATCATGCAGCCTGATAATACTGTGAAGGGAAATACAATTAGCTAACCATGCACCTGCTCAGTTTAGAATTTTATGAGTGTAACTTGTAATATGATTGACATCTTGGGGCTTGTAATCATTTAAAATAGAAATTCTGTATGAAACTCTGAAACATATAAATATGTGTAAATATTTGTGTAACATATTCTCTCTCTCTTTATAATATATAAACCTTTCCAAAGGGCTTAAAAATTTAAACAATTGTGAATTCAGAAATCTTAGAAGAGAATAGTTAGAATTTTTACATTCATTTTAGTTTTTAATCATCTATTCTATTGTATACCTCACAGCTTCTTTATAATCTTTTCCCTCTTATCATCATTTTAATTGAATTTTGGATATTTTCTTGGAATCATATTATTTTATTTAAGTATTTCCAAAGTTCTATCCTGTAGTCGTTTATCATGTAATAAACTCTAGAAATTTATCAACTTATTTATAATTTAAGTACTTCATGAGAGGTTTGACTTCTGTTATCAATAATGTATTTAAAACATTGCTAGAGATAAGCATATTGGTATGTCATAGTCTCTGATATATGTAGGGGCCAGGTAGTTCCTTTACAGAACAGATTTGTAAGACCCTGAGAAAAGGACACAATCAGTAGACCATATAATAATTTTATAGAGAGGAGGGAGGGAAAAAGTGGAAAGGAGAGAGAGAGAGAGAGAGAGAGAGAGAGAGAGAGAGAGAGAGAGAGAGATTGACATGAGAGAGACACATTGATTAGTTTCCTCCTGCACACACCTAACTGGGGCTGGGATCGGACCTGCAACCCAGGTAGTGCCCTTGATTGAAAATCTAACCCAAAACTCTTCAGTGTGAAGGCTTATGTTCTAACCACTGAGTTACATAAGCCAGGGCTCTACATAATTATTTTAAAAATATTTTTACTTGTGATTATGTTAAGTTTTTCTTTTTTGAATGAAATAAACCTGATTTTCCATCATAAATGAGTTGCTTTTGGGTACTTTGAGGAGGTGAACTGAAGTTTTCAGTAGTATCAGAAGAACATTTATAAAGGGTCTAATGAAGACCACTGGTACTTTTAAAATAAGTCAGTGTGTTAGCATAAAATATGCTTCTATCAGAGTAAAGTTCTTTTTTTAGCAGAGGGATAAAGAGAAGTGTTAACTAATTAGAGGAAGAAAGATTTTTCTTCATCAGAAGATAAAGCTTTGAGAGTGAGTACCACCTCTTGGTAATGGTCACATAACTCTAGATTTGTCTTATTTTTCTTATCTGGATGACTAGGATTATTCCAACAAAAATTGTATATTAAGTCAAATGAACCAACATATGCAGAATAAGTTTATACGTGGTAAAGCAGTATTAATTAGTGAGTCCTACAACTGCTATGAACTAACATGGTGCTATTGGAAATATCAACTGTTCCTTAAAGCATTAGAAACACAAGTTGTTACTTCCGTTTCCTCAATTTATCCATGGCTTAAAATACAGAGCACCTGACATTTGTTACTGTGAACACTAAGGAATGACTATGATCGCAAAAATATGGGCCTAAACATCTAAGGGAGAGAATGTGTGCATGTCCATGCAAATAGCAGGTGGTGTGACCAGCAGAATCTTTAAGACCCATACCTGAACAAATTGGAATAAGAGAACTTACTCCAATATATTGCTGAAAAACATTTCCTATCCACTGACTCAGTTGACATCATAATATAATCAAATAACCATAGCAGCTTTGAGCAGTAATATAATCCTGAATGAGGAGCTATTGAAATGTGAAAGTTTTTACAGTGTGGAAGTATGAAGGAGTGAGAAACAATCCTATATAATAAAGAGCTAATATGCAAATGGTTGTCATGCCCTTGTGCCCTCACGCCGGGGCTGGGGGACCTGAGGCCACATCCCCCGCCCCAGCGCCGGGGTCAGGGGACCTGAGGCTGCATCAGGGGACCTGAGGCCACCCCCCCAGCCCTGCAGGGCTTGACGGGGGTGGGGCCGGTCAGATCTGGTCTCATGCGATTTCGAGGCATGTGTGGGTGGGTGGGGACTTGACCGAGGGTCTTGAGGCACACCCTAGACTCTGACAGGAGGGAGATTTTCATATACATTTTATTAATTTTCTTTCATCTCTGACATTTCAATTATAGAGAAAGAGCAAATAGAAATATTAAAATATTTCCTCTAATTAATTCCCTTTATAATGTGCACAAATTTCGTGCACTGGGCCACTAGTATTAAAAATAAGAAAATTGGAATTAGAGAGTGTTGAGAGATCTTGTTCATGTCAACAATGTCTCTGAAATCACTCCCACACATGTCTGTGGGCTTGTCTCATGTCACCAGTCACCAGTTACCAAATAGTGACAGAATCATAGACATAGAGCAGGTTGACAGCTCAAGAGGGTGTGAGGGAGGGCTGAGGCCTGGAGGGATTAAGCAAAAAGAAAAAAATAAATAAATCATGGACAGGGACAACAGTGTGGTGCTTGTGGGGGGGGAGAGGTAAGGGTGGGTAGAGGAAGATATAAGGGGGATACATGGTGATAAAAAATAAATTAATTATTTTTAAATTTAATAAAATAAAATAGAGGCTTAACCCTGAAAAAATAAAAAATAAAAGTATTAATGGTTTTTGGATACAACCTACCCAATATTCGTTTATTTTAATTTCCAGAGAAACAAACCAACCACAGTTAATGAAGCATAGTCTGTCCATATAATTAGGCTATGCACATCAGTAGGCACTTGTGCTAGGTGGTAAAAACATATGGAATGTATCACATTTCAAACAACCACAGGGTTCCTAGGAATAATTAATGAGATTCATAACTATGAACAAAAATAAGCTCATTACACATCTTCATATTATTAAATCAAGAACAAATCTTCCTCTCCCCAATTGGTTTTTCTTAGAACAAATTTCTGACACAGAAGAGAAAATTTGTTTCATATTTTATTGAATTTCATTTATATTAAATTAAAAATATATTTCTGACAGATTCATGTAACAAAAAAGCAGAACAGTTTTCAAATTGTTCAGCTGGGATGATCAGTACGGAATGAGGCAAAGCAGGTCGCATTCTATAATTGCCTTGTACAGGTACAATTCTTTCCCAAGAGCCAAGAGAGGATCCTTGAGAACTAACTGAAAAGCCTAATTACAGAAATTTAAAAGACAGTGTCTCTTATTTGCAAATAACAACAGAAGTAGGGGGAAGGGGAAAAAGAAGGGGGTGAAGGGTTACAGAAGAAAAAAGATTAAGGAAATTATACTAAAAATATACCTAACATTAAAAAAGTTAGTATGAGTTAAGTGCATAATCCTTCATAGATAAAATAGAAAAAAATCAAAATAACATTTTACAACACACAATTGTCATATCCTATTGTGTAAGCGAGTGCAGAGGTTGAACATATCACAATAGTGCTGAACACAGAATCACAAGTAATGTCAAAATTATAACTTCCAACCAAAAAGAAACAATCACAAGCCGATTACTTATATACAAATCAACCCTAAAGACAATTATGTTCCAAATAAAGATGTCCACAAACGAAAATCAAATCAACATTATCCTTATTTACAAATGCAACTAGCCATGTCTTTAACAAGCTATAAAAATACTATTCACATTTTCAAACATACAGTAGTATTTTTTATTTCAAAAGGCAGCTAACTTTGAACACTGGGGTTTAAATGAAACACTGATGGCTTACCAACTAGGTATTTTTGCACCTCTGTCCTTTGAAGGTACTTCATAAGAGAGAGGGCTTGTTTTCTCTTTACAAGTTAAGAACACAAGGAAACGAATACAAACGTATAAAATACCTTAAGCCTCTGTCTTTTTGGTAGTGTCTCCCATTAACACCTGATCTTAGTAACTATTGTGATGCTTGTATGAGATGAGGGTCTGAAAGAAGATTTAACATGACATTTTTTTGTGCTATGAATTGTCTTACAGATTGGTCTCATTTTCATTCGATCTTGTTACAATGGTGCTCAAGAAAGACATGAACAACTAGTCATACCATGAGACAACGCAGTTTCGACATGCAGCAATGCAAGTCCCTGGAGCTCACAACATGAGATGTAGACGCAACAGCCAGTGAGATGTGCATTCAAAGTTAGCTGCCCTTGGACAGCTGCTCAGTTTAGTAATCGACCCATTTAACAGCAGTACCAATTTATGCTACATATTTCAAAGTACCTTACTTTAAAAGAACAGCCCACATATCTACAATTAGAAAATAACTTTTGTAGTTGATTACTGTAGTAATCCCAAAAGGGTTCTTGGAGTGCTATGGTGCAGTCCCTTCACTCCCTCCTCCCAGCCCCTGAGAGATCCAGAAATATACAGGAAAATGACTTTCACGCGAGGGGAAAAGTACAACCCTTCATTAACTGAAAAAATCTGGAAATGAGATGCAAAAACCAGGTTATGTCAATAGATAGGATGTATGATTTGCTTTCCTTCAAAAGGCTACAGGCTGGGACACACTTTACACATCAGGGATAAAAATAGCAGTAAAGGCAAAGTGGCTTGGACAAGTTAGACTATTGCCTATAGGTATGAAACTTTGTTTTCTTATATTTGTATATTTGTACAAATATAACCATGTCTCATGATATGGGTCAAACTCAGTAGAGTCTTGAAAGGAAAATGTCCTTAGAGAGCATAAGCAGAGAAAGAATGGCAACCTCGTGGACAACATGAATTTCCATTATAGTGAAACTGCACTCATTACATATTTCTTAGATGGATGAATGAAACCAATAAAAGATTATAGGGGATTCCCAAAGCTGAATAGCCTTTACCTTTTAGGATACTAAGACTCTTCATTTGCGGGGGAAAAAATACAGCAGCTATACAATATTTGTGACCAGGAATAAAATAAGATAAAGTAAATAAGTTAATGTGCTGGCAAAACTAACTTCTCAGTGATATGTAAGGTTTTCATGAAAAGATTAAATCTGAGACCTACCAAGGGCATGTGCCCCTATGTGAGTTTCAAGATTCATCACAGGGTTGACTCATCTCAAATCCTACAGAGAAGGACATAGTAAAGGAATCAATCTTCATGGAAAAACATGAAGAAAAAATTAATATCACAAAGTATGCTATGTGCAGTAATTTATTTGCACATAGTTCAAATAATGTCCAAATTGCTGGGACCTTTTATGAAAAAGTCAGGCATGTGAGAGAAGAGGCTAAGTCATTATTTCACAAAGCAGGGTGTGGGACCTCAGAGATCCACTATGGCTTAAGAGAGATACAGCATCGAGGGGACCACTCCAAACTAGAGTGGTGGAAAAGTGAAGACAATGGAGGTGGTTGTGCCAATGGGAAAGGAAAGAGGATGGTATTTTCCTCTAAGGTCCAGAGAGAAATGAGCATTTCTATGATACCTACCAAGATAATCACTTATAAAACTGAGAGTCAAAGGGTATTTTCCAGGGAAAGCATGAGAACATCCATGAAATTGGGGCTTAGAGTCTTTTCAGCTCATGACCAGAGAAGCATTTTCTTCTGCCCCAAAAATCACCTGGCTGGGAAGAGGTGAGGCAGGGGTCCACAAAAGTGGCACACCCTACATTTTTGCAAAATCAGGGGGACTTGAACAGAGTGTCTAAATTTTCTACTTTTTTTATGGGGACTTTTCTGTGAATGAACATAACAAAGCAGCCCATGGCTTTAAAAGCCATTTGTCCACACAAAGAAAAGGTTTTCCTGACCCAACAAAGTGTCCACAACTGCTTCATGTTTGTAACTATAGAAACAACTACTCTGCAAAGACATCTCTGGGATTAGAATATTGTATCAATTCTACCCAGAAATATAAAACCTGGCCCCACTGCAATATCTGTAATATTAAGGCCTCCTCTGATCTTGGCATTTTAAATGATACCCAGTCTATCTCTCTATTGCTATTCTTTTTCAAGCAAATGGCAATTAGAAGACATGAGTCTGCCTTTATGTGTCTACATGGGTACAAGGCTGTCCTTCAAAATCCCATATACACAAGGAGAGGCACAGCAGAAGTATCTGTCCATAGCATATACAGGAGTGAATTTATCAGATTTTTTTTTTAATAACTAGCAGCCTACACACCTGGATTTCTTATTTGCTGTATTACAAATCATCAGTTTAATAATTAGAGTCCAAAATAATGGAGATACAGCAGTTTGAAATGCTGGTTTTAGCAATTCTTTATCAGAATATTGTTAACTAATTCTTGTTTGTTTTGGGAAACCAGAGGTATCAAGGAAAAAGAAAGGACATGTCACAAATTAAATGTTTTGTTTGCTTAGTCAATGGCACCACTCATTCTCTGTCTCTGCATAAGGTAATAGAACATTTACATTTTCCCGGACTTCATTGAGAGACCCCTCACTTCAAGTCATAATCAACATATTTGCCTGTTAAACTCTTCAAGGTGGTGCTTGCAAGACAAATTCTAAAAATTTCTCTTTACATTTAATACATTTTTAAAAGGTAAAGGAGTAAGAATATGAGGAAAAAAATTAATTGTAGTTCTTTAAACAAATTTTCACAAGTGGAACCAGCTCTCTACATGCCTACTTTCAGATATACCTAACAAATAGCAATTTTAAAGGGTAAACTGATTTTTTACTTTGCAAAATCCAACCTACACTTTCATATCCTGCACTTTATTTTGTTACATTATAGTTTGTGGTTAATTTTCTAACTTAGTTTATTTAATAATATTAAAATCATTTAATGTCTGATAACTTAACTAAATCTACATCTTACAGCATTTTCATGGTCTGCCCAGTTATATACATGCTTTCATGATCTTTACCTTTTCTATTACCTTATGAACTACATACACTAGTTAAATAATCAACATTTATAGATGGATGAATAATTCAAGTTTTGAAATAAAGGTTAGATAGCTAGAAAAAACTTGTATTTACATCCTTCCCTGTCGGGCTTAAAGAATTAAATTTTTCTTTTCACTTTCGACACTTCAAGAAGCACACCCATAGTCCCTCTAACTTCAGATAGCAGCTAACCCTCAGAGTCCTTTTAAGGGTCTGTCTGTGGCATTGGGATATTCCTGACCTTCATGCCATGTCTTGCCTTTAGAAGCTATTAGCATACATTATAACACGTCTTAGAAGAATACCCTTTCTGCTTTGTGGTGCTGGGTCTACCCTGGTTTACAGAACATCTTTCCTCACCTGTCTAAGAAGTACTTCTTTAAACAACCTTTCTATTATGCCATTTTTCATACTTGAAAATAGGATTCCCTAAGGTAGGTATAAACTACAAAATTTGGTGATTTAAAAATATAGTTTGTGCAACTTTACTATTAATTTTCTTCAAATTGACTGAATTGATTCTGCATATTAGCACAGATACATCTAGCCTCAGGGACATGATATTCCAATGCACCTTTCAGGCTTTGATTGGCATTTGAACATTACGCTCCACTGGGTTGACCGAGTTATTCTTTGGAACAAATGGATTTTTTTTTCTCCTTCTCATCCACTCTGAAATATGTTTTCTAAGGAAAACAAATATATAACAAAAGGGAAACCTTAAAACAACTGAAATCAAGTATGTATTACAAAAATCATTCAAAAGGAACAATAACGTGGAGCCCTCATGAAACATTTTGGATCACTGTAGATTATACTCACATCTATCTCCAGTTATTAGATTAGTGGAAGATTAACTGATGTCCAAGGGTCTCATGTTCTTAGGATGGAGGAGATTACATTCACTGGATACATTTCTATTACCTTAAGAGTAAAAAAAATACTGTTCTAGCCTTCTACAAAATAAACGATTGTGCTTTCCATATCACAATAAAAATATATGACTACTGTAAATCAAAAGAAAAAAAATCAAGTTCCAGTATCCAACAAGGGTGCTGTCAATGCTGAGTTGGTACAGATTTATCCAGAATTTGGAGGGTTATATTTAAATTTTCATAAGTACTGATGTGAGGTCCCCTTTTCCCAGAGACTCCTCTGAATGGGTGAGAGTGCTCTAAGCTGTCATGCTGTGGTGCCTGAATTATTCTTGGGAAATTTGTGGTTGAACTTTATTAGAAAATATCTCAGAAACCCCTTCCTTGCTTTTCGTCGCTCTTTTAGCTTACCTCCTTTTCAAAACGTAGAACGAAACTGATCCCAATGCCTCCAAGGTTCTTGGCCAAAGACCAACATTGACTGCCAATTTAATGGTCAAGTTAGATCCAGGCAGGCCCATAGGCCAGTGATGCAACATCCTTCTAGACCGGTTTGTGCTTAGATGATAGCGTTGAAACTATCCTATTTGTATATTTTAGTAACTTGTAGGATCTTTCATTTGTGTCTCAAATGAGTTCACTAGAGATCGTTTCACTAACAGCTGATTTTATGATGACTACTCACAAAAAGTTCATGCAATCTTATTCTTTAAATTTATGAAGAAATTCAAGTGTCATCCCAAATAAAGCTAGACTAAAATGTTTAAGTTAGGAATAATATTACATTTATCTCAGTATTTCCCACATAACACAGTGCTTTTAATAGACTCTAAATAAATATTAATTGAAAAAATAAGTTGAAGGTATTAATGGATTTACATTTTCAAAACAAGCAGAAATCTAGATTTTTCTTTTTCTTTTGCATTCTCCCCTCTAAAGTCTCTGTTTTACCATTTGGAGATTTTTAGTCTAATTGCTTCTTATAATAGAGTCAAATTTGATCCCACTATGTCAACATTAGAAAAAAAAAATTTTAAATCCAAATGACCTGGGATGGATTTTCTTAGAAAAGAGAGACATATCCAATTCTCCTAATAACTGATCTGAGGTTCCCTTTTTCTGGAGACTCGTTCCTACCATTTGTTCCCATTAATCATATTAACTCAGCAGGTATTCTCTTGAAACAATACATAATAAAGATGGTCCTATTACTAGGATGCTGTGTTTGAGGAAAGGAGTTATTATATAAAGTATCAAAAGATTAGTATGTGGGATATTAAAATAATTACATGAGAATATTTTTCAGGTTTATTTACAATTTTTGCCCCAACGATCTATCTATAAGCTGTGAATGCGTGTATTTCTTTTTTTGTTATACCAATTTATGTGCAAAGAGTTACCTTCCCCTTATTATAAATAGAGTCTCATACTAGAAATTCCATAGAATTCAAGCCCATCGTTACTTGCATTTCTTAATATTCAGTATACAAACTGGACAACTTTCCTTGCGTAGCAAATGTGATATCACATGTAGATAACGTGCTGTCCCTGTCATCATAATCCCTGGATACTGTTCCAAAGTCCTAATTTGCTTGGTTTGGTATTTCCATAGTCTTTCTTTCTTTAAGCACTTTTTAAAAAAAAAATGTGCTTAAATTAGCTATTTTGCTGGTTGCTTCCATATTGCTTCATTCAAAATCCAAAATGGAGTTCAGAAAGAGAACAAATAAAATGATAGTTTAAGTGCAAACTACATTTCTGAGTATCTTCCAGGTAGACATACCCAATCCAGTGTGTTTCTTCCAGTTCAATGGATTCCCCATTGGATCACCCCTGAAAATATCAGTAGTTTTCATGAACCACACAGAACTGTCTCTTAGTTTCCCTTCTTTTAAAAAAATTACCAACTGCCTATCAAGTACTGTCATTTATGGAGGAGAAGAAAACATTGAAGGATGAAAAGGAATGGGGGTGGTACATGTTCAATAGTGTAAACTCAAAAAAAGGTGAGATTTGATGCTATATTTGACTAACATCTTGGCCTCCCTTTCTAATTTTAAAGACAATATATTTAAAATAGTGGCCATTCCACTTCCTTTTTAGAATTTTGATAATTTATAGCAATGCATAAAAAATCTTTGCAATTAGAAATTAAAGCCAAAAATAGGGGAGAAAGTAGTAACATGAAGGACTGGAGCAAAGCAAAAACAAAAAGGAAAATAAAATAATAAAAAAACACACAAGAAAGCCCTCCAAACAAGATTACTAGTTCTAACTCTGATGCAGATTCAGAAATGAAAGCTGAGTTAGCCACTCTTGCTTGTCAGGATAGAAACAGTGGGAGAAAGAAATTTGGATTCTCCATCTGTTATATTACATATTATAGAAAAGGTTATCTTTTACTTATTCTAATGTAAAGGTTATTAGGGCTTTCAGGGATGCTGAAACTGTACACATCAGTTCCTGTAGACAGGAACAGATAGCATGGGTCTTTCAAGACTCCGCATTTAAAAAAAAGAAATAGAAAGAAATTTGAAAAAAGAAAACATTTGAAAACTTGTTTGACAGCAGGCAGTATTGCCTTGCCTTTGCTGGTTCTGTCGCCTGACCAACCCATGCAGAGAAATGAAGAAACAGTGTGTTTTTTCCTGTCTTTCTCTTTCAGTCCTTCCTTCTAATGTTCAAGTTAGATAAGCACATAACTATCATTGCATCTCGACAGCTTCCCCTGGGAAGTTTCAGAACTACTGGCCTTGGGAGTAGAAGGGAGACCGTAAGAGAAAGAGAGGTGGCAGGGAAATTGGAGCGGGCATGTCTTTCCACCTTAAAACCACGGTTGAGTTTACACCACAGTATTCCGGTGTCTGTAGGGTGGAGGAGGCAGCACAGTGCCTGGCTTCAAGGAGAACTCAGAGAGGTATTCGGGATTCTCCGCCACGATCGGCCGGATCCGTCCATTTTGTTTATAAAAATATTTTGTGCTGTACTCCTGCAGGTAGTCTGGGTGCTGCAGGGTGCTCCGAGGGGGCAGGCTGTGGTTCCAGTAGTCAGGGTTGTCGAACGCTCTCTTGGCCTTCTCCGGCACAGACAGTACGGTGTTCTTCAGGTACTCGGCGTTCCCCAGCGTGTTGGCAAAGGTGTTGAGGTACAGTGGCTCATTCACATACTCATCCTCTGCCTTGGGTGGACCAGTGGAAGCATTGTGGTATTCGGGATTATCCAAAGCTTGAAGGTCTCCGTTTTTTCTCCGAGAGACAAACGGGTTCTCCTCGACAGGGTTCAGATATTCTGACGGAATACGAAAGTATCAGTTAACATCTGCTACCTGGGAAATGTTAATTAGAGCAAGTGTTAATACAGAACGGTTAGCTTCTTTGTTCAGAACAAGAAAGCCAGGGATTCTCACAAAACTCTTTCGTTGATTACTGCTGTCATTTAAAAAAAAAAAAAAAGAGTAAATGGGTCAAAAATGATAAGGACAAAAGAAGACGCCTGCAGGGCTGGCTGGTCTCAGTGTTTCTGTCGCCTAGAGATTGTTCTTTTTCCCTCTAAATGCATTCGTCTCTCCTACATATGGGGCCAGTTATCCAAACTTATGTTGGAAGATGAGACAACCTATAAGGGTTAAATAGCCTTTAAATACTGAGAAATCAGAATTTTTTAAAGGATATTGAAAAATGTCTAAGCTGAATTCTACTCCAAGATCAATAGGCGAAGTGAAAGAATAGCATTTTTGGCAAGTGAGGTTTACTGTGGTGTCTGTATAGTAACACGGATTTGATTATAGATGTTTTCCAGTAAGCTTTATCCATAGGAAAAGAAACATCTAAGAAGAAAAACTCAACTCCTAAAACAAACTTGGTAGACATCTAACATGCTTCTAAAGTGACTCGCTTGCCAATACCTAAGCTTAACAATAAAGTATAACAATTTCCAGTGGCTAATGATAATCACAAAATAGCAAACTATTAGTTTGACTCATATAAAATACCACTATTATGTAGGTTGGAAATGACCCATTAGTGGCTATTTTGTGATTTAATCTAATAAATTGATCTAAAATAGGTACTGGCCCAGAATTTTTTTTAAAAAAATGCTGTTAATTAATATTGCTCTCCTCAAGTTTAATTTCTCTATATTATGACTATATATATATAGATAGATAGATAGATAGATAGATATAGATATGTATCTGAATATACAGACATATTTTTGTCTTGTCTTTTATATACACACAAAAAAATGACACTTTAGCTATTCTTACTTTGCTGAGATGCCAACATTCTGAAATAAACTTTCTATCCCCCACACTTAGTTTGACATGTAGAGAAAAAAATTTCATCAACTCAGGGTTATTTTCCCCTGGATATAGGTCTATGGATGTACTTAAGTATTTAGCTTGGTAATGAATATCTCATCATCATATACTACATGAATTACAGTTCAGTAACGTACAAGGTACTCTCATTTCATCCTGCAACAATCCTGTGAAAAAAGAGGTGCAAGCTGTGTTTTTCCAGCTTTATAGGCAGAAAACAGAGATTCAATAATGTATGAAGGATCCAATTAGCCATGAACTAGACTTCAGACCTTCTAACTCCTCCTGAGTAATCATCTTGTTCTTCTGCACTGTTTTCATTATTGCCCCTATAGGAGTGGGGTGAACTTTACCTTTGATAAAATGTTTTAATTTGAAAGGGGCTCAAAGCTACTGTCATTTTAAGAAAAATATATGAATAAACCTAAAAGGGAGCCAGAAATTGTTTTTCCCCCTAGATTTCTAAACTTCTTCATTAAAAGTATAGGAATGTCTATCCCGTGGTTGGCAAACTCATTAGTCAACAGAGCCAAATATCAACAGTACTTCTTCAAAATAGACTCACCCAGGCCGAAAACCGACTTTTGCACATGGGCCACGAAGTTTCAATTGTACTGTATGCGCCCCCATCTCGGTACTCAAGGGGCCAAAGAGCCACATGTGGCTCGCGAGCCACAGTTTACCGACCACGGGTAAAATGCTCTAGTCTTTGAGAACTAAACATTCCTTCTACAGAAACCTGGTCTCTTAGTATTCAGAGGCAGAATCTGGGGATGCTCTACAGTGAGCCTATACCTTTGCCTATCTCATTGAAGATTTTTGTTACCTTTTCTCAATACAATCTACTTATTATCCTAATGCAAACCATGTAACCAACTATGCGGTTATGCATAGAGGAGTAACTCCGTGGCAGAGTTGAGAATCGAATATTCTACTTTCAGGGGGATCTGCCAAAGCCTCTGAAAGCCTCCATTTGTGTCACTACTGGGTTACTATACACTTCATATATTACAATATAAACATCATATAAAATAAGTACTTCTATATACCTAGGTGTGTGTGTGTGTGTGTGTGTGTGTGTGTGTGTGTGTGTGTGTATTAATAGGCTATTTACAATGTGCATTTCACATTTTATAAAAGTGAATATAGCCAATATCACAGGACATAATGGGCCCTCATACAGAGTCTTAAAATACAGTTTGCTGTTGACACTGAAGATGCTGAGACAGGATCATCAGTTTTGAATAACAACCATCTATTTTCTTTTTGTGATGCTTTTCATGTAGAAGGAAAGAGGCTTTTTCAGAATGGAAATGTTGCTTGATTTGGGTGTTTAACATTTCCACCATAACACTGTATACTAGTCCCCCCTCATCCATGGGAGATACGTCCCAAGACCCCCCGTAGATGCCTGAAAGAGTGAAAAGTACAGATGCAAGTGTGGATAGTACGAAACCCTATTTATACTGATTTTTACCTATAGATCCATAACTTCTCACTTACGGGAAGCACTTCAGGGCTTTTCTTTGGCATCCAAATTGCCAGCCTTTCTACTCTTGCACTTTGTAGAAATTATTAAGTAAGTAAGGGATTACTTGAGCACCGTCACTGTGATACAGTTGATCCATGTGAAAACCTAGATGGCTACCAAGTGACCAATGAGCCAAGAATACACACAACATGGACACACATCCTGGGTGGGACAGAGCAGGGTGGCCTGAGACTGCATCACACTACTCAGAGCAGCACACACTTTAAAACATAAACCGTTTACTTCCGCCATTTTCCCTTTGATCTTTTTAGACTGTGGTTCACCATGGGTAACTAAAAACATGGAAAACAAAACAGTAGATAAGAGGGAACTGCTGTGGTGCTTTATGAAACCACAAAGTATGGATAATTTCAAGGTGGAATGATATACGTGTAAGTATATGCAGGGCTAGAACTTTAATTTTTGAAATGTGTCAGAAGAAATCCTAATTTTCTGCAATAAACTAGGTCATTTAAATGACACCATTTTAAAGGATCCACCAAATCTTTTACTGGTGCCATTAAAATCTTCGGACACTTTTGCCAACAATCCCAGTCTTTATGATAAGTCCAATAAAACAGTGGTTCTGAACTCTTGTGATATGCTACCTCATTCAAATATTTCTATAACAATATGTTTAGGTTAGTGTTTCTCAGGCTTGACCATGTTAAAAACTACCTGGGGATCTTGTTAAACTCCAGGCTCTTATGCAGGCAGGGCCTGAGACTCTGATTTCTAAAAAGCCATCACTGCCTCAGCTGCTGCTGGTTCAGACAGTACCGCCTGGATGGCAGCAGCCTGGGTCTGTTTCTGGGTCACAGATGATGCAGAGTCCAGAGCTTTGGCCATACCCCTTCTACACTTTGCCTATTTTGATGGATGTGAATGTAGAACGGCGATCACTTCTGAACATCCTCTTTGTACCTTGTTTGGGTTTGTCTCGCATAGGGGTCATGTAGCCTTCCTCATCCAGCTCTCCTCGTGGGCTCCGTTCCGGGGCAAACACCGTGGGGTCGGCACTGTACCTCTGGGTGCTGCTATCTTCTTGGACATGGGGTGCCACTGGCTTGCGTAGGGTGCCATTGCAGCAGGCGTCATCAAACATCTCGGCTGTGGCCCCCTGAGCAACGGGAGCTTCTGGGATGGTGCTGGTCGTGGCTCTGTAGGGCACGGGCACTCCCTGCTCTGCAGCAAAACCCCCATCTCGGTACACAAATTGGTTCTGTCAATAGTAGAGACACATTCAGACAACAGTTACTGCTAGGAAGAGTTGCAAAGAAATGAACGTGAAAAGCTAAAGGATATGGAAGCTCGTCTTTCAGAAATATGTCAGGTTTGAGTTTTGATTGTTTGGTTGTTTTAATTTACCTTATTTCCCCTAGTGGCTAATGGCATTCAGTTACAGACTAATCACACCTAAAATTCCAATTTTTCTTAAAAATTTAAGTCACGGAAAACAATTTGGAACTATATATAATCTCTTAATATTACTAAGCACCTACCACCACATGATCTAATAAACATATTTCACATTTCCCCCCCACAATTGCCCGTTTTTGATAGAAAATTCAAAGTGAATTTTCATGACATATAGCAACATAGTTAATTATAGGCAGTTGCCATTAAGAACAGAAGCACATGGGTGCCATTTGAGTGGTGATGTTTCCTTACTGAATTCTTCTCTGTAGTTACTATGACTGTGAGTCTCCAGTACCTAACTGGAGAGTTTCTCACTTTTTAGCACACAACCTATCTTCGTGGTCGTCAAGATAACCTCCTCACTAGAGATATAACTTATGAGCCCAGGTAAAAATCAAAAGCTACTGTTGATGCATAATATCTCCATTTTGGATTACCTACTGAAATAATACTAGATATCTAAAAAAGGCTGCTTCACAATCTACAGCAAATGCTTAACTTACTGTTGGCAAAGGCAAAATGAGGAAATTATAGGGAGACAAGAGAGAGGAAACATGGTAAGCAAAGACCAAAAATCCTAAAAGATGAAGGTCGATTGTGAAATACTTACTCCTGACATGGGGGTGTAGGCGGGAGGAGGGCTGTGTCCAATTTCACTCTAATAGGAAAGAAAAATGGAATGATGGATATAATAAGAGGTAATATGAATGAAAAAAAAGAAAGAAAAAGAAAAGCCACACGAGTCGTATGAACCAGAGAGGAAACCATGCACAACAGTGAAGTTTGCTAAAGGGTAAAATTCTATGCACGTTGACTACAAGCAAGTTTATTGAAGTGTTTTGAGGAGATTAAATATTTTAACTCAGTCCCTAGATAGGAAAATTATGTATAAAAAGTAAAAATTTTAAATGGATTAAAAATTAAGTGGACAATGATTATTCCTCTGATTAGCCCTAGGAGAAAGGGAAAAATAGTGAACGATTAACTGTAATTTTAAACAAGGAAGAGTTTTCTTCATTAATATTAAATAACTGAAATGGCCTCATACCATAGCCATTAATTTTTCCCTTCTAAGAAGACATTTTTCTCAAAGCAGATAGAAGTGGATTTCGATTTGCCTGGAATATTGTTTTTTTTCTAACAACTTACATATATTTTTCACCATTTTGGCAATGGGTCAATTTCTTCTTTTTTTTTAAGTTACTGTTTAACTTTAATTTATTTATTTACTTTTAAAATATATTTTCATTGATTTCAGAGAGGAAGGGAGAGAAACATCAATGACGAGAAAGAATCATTGATCTACTGTCTCCTGCATGCCCCCTACTGGGGATCGAGCCCACAACCCACAACCGGGGCATGTGCCCTTGACTGGAATCGAACCTGGGACCCTTCAGTCCACAGGTCGATGCTCTATCCACTGAGCCAAACTGGGCAAAGTGTTAATTTCTTAACCTCTCCTTATAAAAAGGTACATGCTCTTTCTCTTCAGTCTTTTTTTTTTTTTTTTTTTTATGTGAGATCTATGGGGAGGGGGATGGAGCCCACAACCTAGGCATGTGCCCTTGGTTGGAATCAAATCTGGGACCCTTTAGTCTCCAGGCTGACGCTCTTATCCACTAAGCCAAACCGACTAGGGCTCAGTCTTATTTTTTTTAAAGCTAAGAAACAGCAGAAAATTTTAGGAAATTAATTTATTTCCTAGAAACCTGCTTTATTTACTTTATTTTCATTTATTTAGAACCAGTAAAATCAAATTGCAGTTAAAAAACAACAACAATAACACAAAACAAGCCCTGGACGGTGTGGCTCAGTGGCTTAAGTGTCCTCCCATGTATGCCCCAGGAGGTTACTGGTTTGATTCCTGGTCAGAGCACAAGCCTGGGTAGTGGGCTCCATCCCCAGTAAGGGTATGCAGGAGGCAACCAATCAATGTTTCTCTCTCATTGATGTTTCTCTCTCTCTTTCCCTTCCTCTCTCTCTCAAATTAATAAAAACATTTAAAAAAAAAAACAATAGCAAAAATATCTATTTTCTTATAGTTCAATAAACCATCCAGCCTATGGGCTAAGTAAAAGTAGATATAAAAATAAAATAAAATATTAAAGACAATGTTCCTTAGGGTAAGTAGAGGGGGTTGTACAAACACCAACTCTGTTTCTTAACAAAAACTTACATATAGAAATATACTCATTAAACACATTGTTGAGAACCTACTGTCTATGTGGCTAGGCACTTTTCTAGGCACTGGAGATAACTGAGAAAATAAAAACAGTTGATTTGATAAAGCTTGTATTCTCTACAATTTGTCTTTGAATGAACAAAGACAACTAAACTAAACCTCAAAGACAACAACATCTTGCAACATCAATGAAATATAGCTAACTATTATTCCAGGTCAATTTTATTTTATTTTATTTTATTTTTATTTTTTACCATTTAGAGATTCACAAAACAATCTAAGAAGAATATGGTCTCATGGAGGTGAGCTGTTTAATGTAATTAGTATTTACTGGATAGTACAATTCCTTTAATTTAGTCTGTTGGACTAGCCAAGGGGCAAGTTATAAACCTGTGAGTTATGCAAAGTGAGTTTACATTTGAACTTTCCCCACAACTTAGTCCCTTACATGATGGCATAGAAAATATTTATTTCTTCTCGTCTCTGATAACAAAACTTAAAGACACATTAAAAGGCATGGAAAGTTAGAGGTATAATTAAAATGTAATGCCTAGAAGGTGGTATTCCACATTAAATAGACAGATCGCCTTATGAGTTACAGTCCCAATTATAGGTGATGTGGCCAGTCATGAAACACCTCAAATCCTCATTTTCATTCTTGGCCTCTCTACCTCGTTGATAGTGCAGACAAAGTAAGTTAATGTTTATAACTGAACTTCGAAAGCTCTGCACATATATAGAGAATATATAAAATTTAAATATTCACATCTGCTAAATCGGATTTTTAAAGTCAAACAATTAAAATGCCAAAGCTACTCACCAAAAAGGCATTTAAAAATGCTTACCTGTTCTACATTACTTTAAATATAGGTATTTTTTGCTAACTTTTAGAAAGATATGAAATCAAATATATTGTTCATACAATTTGAGAAAGGAATTTTGTGTATAGTCCAGTGATATACAAAATAGATGGGTGGTATGAGAAATACAATTGCCTGGTGGAACTTTATTGTATTATAACCCTTGGTTTTACCCTATCAATTAAACCCTCATCATTTCACATGCATTTATCAAAGATTTATTAATTCTCTAAAAGCACAAGACTGGTGGGAGATGCTGGAGGGATCACAATGCGCTAAGAAACACATGGTGACTGGCCTTTTGGAATTTACACTGTACTATCGCACATTACCTGAGATTATTAGAAGAAATGGCCAGAAGGAAATGAGGCAGCAGTGGGTTTATTTCAATTACATGATTACAGATTGGAAGATAAGGTATAAAAAAATATTAGTAATTACCAGTGTTCCTTTCACTCTTTACTTTGCAAGAGTTGCTGTACTAGGTGATGTTTGATTGGAATCACACTGAGGAAACAGCCTTGATTCCTCATCAGGAAATACTTTATTATCTATTTTCATGATCTGGGCCAGACCACCTTCAGCGGTAAAGGCATCATACTAACGATAACGAGCCCTCACGCGTAGTCTGTTCAGACACAGGAAGTGAGGCGCTGTCCTGCTAGAATGCATCCACTGTCCCTGCCCTGAGAAGTCTTTCTGTGAGCAACCTGCCAACTCCATCTGGATAGACTGCCAGACACCATCACAGGAACAGGAGCGTCTTCATGCTTTTGCTACTTTTAAATGCTTTTTGTTACATTAAAATAGAAAGAAATGCTAAGCAAAGCGCCTTTAGCATTCATTGTTTTTTTAGGGTTATTGGCTGCTTTTTATGTTTGTGCTTCCATTTTTTCCCTTTTTTCTCTTTTCTATTTTCCATGATGAAAAGCACCTCATTCATTTCCCCCTGGAAGGGCAGTGCAGCTACAAGGGAACATCTGTGAGGCCAATTAGCTGGGCTGGGAATGTGATATAATTGTTGTTTAAATATATTTAAATTACATGTTAATCGCTATGTCATAATTTATGGGCTTTGAAAATAACTTCTTGTACTTGAGAGCCAAGCCAGATTCTACTTGCTTTTTGCTGTTTTTAGTTTGTGCAGCAAGCTCTTCTCATTGCCTGCCACCTCCCGCCCCCCAATTCCCCAAACTTGAAGAGCTGAACTTTAACAGTGGAAAGAATGACAGCTGCAAGTAAATTGGTTGAGTAGAAATTAAGATCCCCACAGTCAGAATGAGCGGGAGTGACCTTAACGTTCTGCCCAGAACAAAGCGGTGCCCTCAGTGAAAGGCTTTTGTTTTTCCATTGTGCCACTTTCCGCTGTCCGTCAAAGCCCAGCCTTGCAGACCTTCAGGAAGCAGCCTGGGCGCATCTGTTCAATTAGCTGGTGAGGGGAGTTACTGTGAGCAGCGTGGAGATAGTGGAGGTGGGTTATAAACGGGCAGAATTTTTTTTCCTGGTGGGGTATTTGAAAGGGTGATGGAGAGAATTAAATTTAATTTTGTTGCCATGTCACTGGGACATTGTATGATTAACTGGGACTCAAAAGTCAGAGGGTATAAGGAAGGCAAATGTCAGCATATATCAAATATAGTGTGAAAAGCACTTTTACATACATCATGTCCTAAAATTTACTTTTTAGTTGAATGATCAAGATTTGAACCTGTGTTATTACATGCACTGTGTTTCTCATGTTTATTGTTTTAATTAAAATGTATTATTTAATATTGTTCTTGGGAAATTTTGAATTGTTAACCAGATGAACTGTGTCTTATGATTTTAAAAATTACATATCATACAAATCTATCTACTCACAAAACAAACAAAAGCACGAGCATAATGCCTGACTTCCATCTAAATTAATCATGTTCTTAATGAGAGCCAGTTTTTTAAATTTTTCAGATAATTGTTTCTGTCAATATTAACTATAGGATTAAAGTTTCTAGGGCCAAGAAACACTCCAATCCTTTTAACTAAAATAGCATGTGTCTCTGTAAGATGTTGCTAATGCATCACTACTAATTTATTACATAGACACTACCCATGTAGTAACTTTTAAGGGTTCTCTATTTTATCCTCTCTTTCTTTCTTTCTTTTTTGGCCTGTTTTTTAAAATTTTTTTATTTTTAATTTTTTTAAATTTTTTTATTGTTTTATTGCTTAAAGTATTACAAAGAGTATTACATATGTCACTTTTTTTTTTCCCCACCCTTGACAATCCCCTGGCCTCCCTTGCCCCCCAGTGTCTTATGTCCATTGGTTATGCTTTATATTCTTAACACTCCGATGGGCATTTTTACATTTTCTCAGGCCAGATAGCTGATGGATTTAATGTTGTTGGCCTTATGTACAATTCCTGATTCATGGCTCTATCTTTTCCCCTACTGAGTTCAACATAAAAATATTTGAGACATCTAGATTTCGAATCTTCATTTTTCATAGAACAATCAGAAGAAGAAAAACAAAATGTGACCATATACAAAACACAGTAAGGACTGGGGTAAGCTTATTAAATCTAGGCAGCTGGCTTACACATACACACACACACACACACACACACACACACACACA